TAATGTGCCCGGCATTAATAAAACGGGACAGATTCTTTCCCTGCCGGTAGGATTTTCCACTTACCAGTGGAATTTCAACGGAGTGCCAATCACCGGTGCTACCGGAGCGACATATACCTACGCAATAGACGGTGATTACTCTGTAAACGTTACGGACAGTAATGGATGCAGGGGCACCTCGCCTATACTCAATACCAGAAACTCTGCGGCTAATTCCCCTTCAGTTCCAGTTATACAGATTTTCCCCAATCCTATTGTAAATGGTCAGTTGAACATTCACCTACCATCGTACGGCACCGCTCGTATTTCGTCACCGGAAGGCAGATCAATCGGAAGTTGGAAGCTTAAAACCGGAGCAAATACAATTGACATTTCCATGTTACCCAAAGGAGTTTATTTAGTAAGTGTTGCGGATCATTCAGGTACTGTACTTCAGTATACAAAAATTACCAATAAATAATTTAAAAAATCGTGTTTATGAAAGTGAGGCAATTGTTTTTTGTATTTCTTCTCCTTCCTTTGGGGCTGCTGGCTCAAAGGGAAGGAGGGATCTGGTATCTTGGTGATAACCATTATCTGGATCTTAATTCAACACCTGTTCAGCAGGGCAATACCCCTATACGTGGTTTCAGGGCTGCAACTGCAATTTGTCGGCCTAATGGAAGCTTAAGGTTCTACGTGCGGTTAACTTCGAATAATGAGCCCATGATATTTCATTCCGGTGGTATGGCTGTGCCAGGCAGCAATTTGCTCAGTGATCATGGGGGCAATTCTAATAATGCGGGCATGCCGGTTGTAATTCCCCGTATAGGAACTACTGATCAGTATTTTGTCTTTCATAGCAGGACAGGGGGACTATTTTATAGTCTTGTAGATATGTCTCTGAACAATGGAATGGGTGGAATGGTACTAAAGGATGTTCAGATTAGCGGGTATTCAACTATTGTTCCCGGAAGAATGGTAGCGGTTCCAGGTTGTGCTGGTATATGGCTGGTTGCGAGATCAGCGACTCATAACAGGTATTACAGCTTTCTGATTGGGTCTGCTGGCGTATCCCATGCCCCTGTAGTATCTGAAACTGGTTTAATGAATGATGTATTCTGGCCCTCTGCTTATTTCAGTGGAAATACATCAAGCATTAAAGCCTCGCCCAATGGTAAAACCATTGCGACATTCGGTACGCATGGCAGCGGGCTAGAAATTTATGATTTCCAGAAATGCTCTGGCAAACTGACAAACCCACGCATAATCGACACCTTACATAATCCATTACCCAGTCAGACTGGTGAGCGGGAAGAATACACTGGTATTACATTTTCCGCTGGAAGCAATATGCTGTATGTAGCTAAACATGGCAAGTACCAAATTGACTCCGTACCCAGTGCATTCGGGGTTTTTGGCGGTAAACATGGAAAGGTTATTCAGTATGATCTCTTACAAGGGACGACAGCTTCTATC